TATGACTTACCGCCCATGACTTAAACCAAATATCTCGAACAGATTGCGGAGTCTACGTCCAATTAGCATGCGACATATTGATTCTCTTCTTAAACTCCTTGATTCGTTCGACGCTGATATCATTTGCTTCCAGGTTTTGTACTCACATTCGAGAAATTTCAATCGATTTCGATGAATCCGTAAAGTTTTGAATATAGGAAACGAAGCTTAGAAGGCAAGAATTAACAGCTGATTTGACGATTGCTGATGGGTATGAATCGTTCTTCTCGTGTACTCGTACTTGTGAGAAAGGTTGTACTGGGTATTCTGGTAAAGCATCAAGCTTTTCTTTGTCTTTCAATGATTTTTTGAGTGGAATTTGAGAAAAAAAAAGTTGAGATTTTTAGAGTTTTTTTGTGTTGTTCTTGTTGAATTCGTAGGTGTAGCTACGTTTTGTAGAGTAAAGTCAGCAACTTCAAGCTGTGAGATTGCTTTACCTGTTGCTGCAGAAGAAGGTTTCACTGGTCTTGTAAAGAGTAGTTCTCGAGGTGGGAAGATTGAAAGGTGTAAAATAGCTGATGGTCTTTGAGGAGTATGAGAAAGAAGAGCTTTTTAAGATTGATCAAGAAGGACGGTGCGTCATAACTGTTAGAATTATGCGTAAATATATATTTAGAATGAGAGATTAAGAAAAGAGAATAACATTGGAGAATTGAAAAATGAGAAGAATTAGAATTGAATGTATGTTATTTTCATTTCTTTGGTTTACAATCTATATATAGAAGAACAAAATGACATGCTTTTCTAACCCATGCTCTTTTGTCTTCTTTAACCCATACTTTGATTTAACCCATATTTTGATTTTTTAACCCATACTTTGATGTCATCTTCTTCACCCATACTTTGATGTCTCATACCCATACTTTGATGTCTCCTCTTGTCTTCTTTCATTTGTCAATAATAACTGATCATGGACACTTTGGTATTGGTCTCTCATTTGTTTCTTTGATGTTTAACCTTTGTTAGATATAATTTGATTCTGTTATTGTATTTGTGGGGTTTTGTTAGTTGTTTTCAATGTCCATGGACTGAGAGGGTCGAGTTTAAGCATCGGTTCTATGATGTTTTAGAGGTAAGTGTATTGGTTTCTGAATGTAGCGATGAAAGTTCCTCGGGGTTTATTGGGTTAATTGTTTCTTGGTTTTATTGTAGAGAAGATGGGAGTGTCTTCTGCGTCAGGGAAGAAGGGTAATTGTTGTTGGGGATCTTAACATTGCTCCTTTTGCTATGGATCGATGTGAAGCTGGGCCTGATTTCGAGATAAAACGAGTATGTTAATACTGACTGATAGTACTCATGATCTGCTGAGATCATTTTCTCTCTACTCAAAACTTTTTTTGGCATACTATTAGATTTCTCCTTTCATGGCAATATCAAAAATGCAGGTTCAGAAAATGGCTGCTAGTTGAACGTGGAGGCTCATTTTCGGATGTTTTCAGATCGAAACATCCTGAAAGATGAAATTTTGTTTATGAGTGTGCCATTTATATTTAAACTTTTCTATTGTTTGATATGATTTTGTTTTACTTCTCTGTGGATTTTTAACAGGAACGATGCATTTAACAGGAACGGTTTCCAGCAAATTCTTGGTACAAAGAAACTTTCCTTTATTCCTCTGTGATGAAAATTACCAACTTATTTTGTGTCTCTATAGTTTTATCTCACATTCTGAGCTTCTTCACTTGTTTTTTTTTTACTGTAACAGCATCAGTGTTTATGAAAAGACAGGCCAATGAGCAAGCCAAAGCCACTGAGGTTGTTTTATGTTCATCGTCGAGTCAAAGAAACGCTACGCCAAGTTGTGGAGAGATCTCGACAGGACCACTCAGAAACTGCGGTTTAACGGGTATTTCACCTGAGAGCTGAGAATATCTCTAGAGATGGAAACATGAAAAAAGCGAGAAAGATCCAATCTTCTCAGCTTTTCTCTCAAGTCCTTTTTCACTACAAACTCAAAGGTAAACAATAGCGAGGACAAGTCTTCTTCCTATGTTTCCTCCAATCAAAGCTCCCCACAGAACCAACCCTTTCCAGCGAAGAAGCCAGCGAACCAACTACTCTAACACAAGAACAAGATTAAAGCGGTTCTTCAACTAAACAAAAGAACAATGCAGCTATAATGGAGTGGCAAAGAATACAGAACCTAATGCAAAACTGTATACCTCTCTGCAAAGGACACAAAGAAGCTTGTGTTTCTCGAGTCGTAAAGAAACCAGGTCCTACATTTGGCCGCAGATTCTACGTCTACGTTCGAGCCGAGGTAAAACAAACAAAACTTAAGTCTTAACCATTGTAATTAGAAAAAGAGTTTTGTTTGGGGTAGAAAAAAAAGTCAAAAACTACTAAT